TGCTATAATAGCATCGCACTGCCTGCTTCATCCATTCAGATGAGGTATCGACTCTGTTGCTGGCTGGTATCTTCATCGTCGGCAATGAGCAGGTTCTGATCGCCGACCTTTCGTTGTCTGCCTTAGTCGCCAACAGCCTGCGCAGCCCTTGGTAAACCGGTTCGTTCTCGTCCCGCAATTACAAGTCATTAAACTGTCGACACAGGTTGACTGACGATTTTGAGTAATCATTAAGTATTTCGACAATATATGAGCAAATAATGTAAACTTCTGGAAGGATTCAACTACAGCCGGAGTCAATGGATAGCTTAATGAAGGTCCAGCGGGTATTTCTGCACAATCGTGACTGCTGCAGTTACAACGTCAGCGGTGATGGCTTCAGTTTTCAACGATATCCTTTTTTACTGAAGACACCCCAATAAAGTCAGCATAAGAAAGCAGTAGAGTACCTACTGGCCAAAATTCAGTGGAGAAAGTAATAATACAAGACATGAACTTTCACCGCATATGCGAAGATACAGCAGGTCAACGCAAAAATAAAACATATGCAATGTCGTCTCGGTAATCGCTTGTCATTCACCAAGGTGATGGATGATTCAAAGACATGACCAAGTAGTCAAGCAATGTAGGCCTGCAGACCATGTCAGCTCGAACCGCCAAACATTAAATGATACAGTAATGACGACGGAACCGGAATGCTACTTAGAACAGTAACCCGTTTCTGACCCTACAAATCGCCCCAGTACAGTGAAATCATGACCGGAAGCCCAAAATGACATAACTCGACCGAGGAAGATAATCAAATACAGCATTCTGAGAAATCTGTTTACGTATATAGCGGCTGTGTTTCATATTACATGTAGTATTCTGTTCAGCACAATACGACTACGAAAGCTAAGGCTCGCACAGCATGGAAGTTCACGGGCAGCTTAGATGGTTCCACTATACATGAAGCTGTTTCGCGACCTTACCCGTAATGCATTAGACATTGTTGCTCATCGTATCTGAGGTACCAGGGTCACAGACCGAGCACAGATTAATGATGTATCACGTTTTGGCTTCTCAGAATGATTTAGGCGATCAGAGACTGCTGCAAAAAATATCATATTTCTCTCTGGAAGCAAGTACACCTTTAGGACTTGCCCAAAGGTGCGATGTTAGCCTCCATATCGTGTGGCCACTTTTCTTTTACAACGAAGAATGGTTTTGGATAGGTCTCCACTCCCTGTTCAGATGGTTCTATGAAATCACGACAGATGTCGATCCCAGACTTCTTCGGACAGCATTCTGAGGTCAGTCATCTCCAAGATCTTTTCATTTTTTTTGATTGAACTATCGCACCTCCAGAATATTCCACAAACAGCTCTGCTGAAGTGTCTAACATTTTTCATGGCGCTTTAACGGGTTTATATTTTCATCATGACTGAGAAGACTGCGGCTTTTAGAAGGGTGCCTTTGTTGCTCTCTGAATAGATCATTCCTAAAACACTTTAGAAAATCGCCCGCATTTCACACATGCCAGCACCAGCATTTGACGTAGACGCCCTAAGTTAGCCGATTTGCAAATTCGACAGAAGCATAAATGATGTCCAGAGTGCCTCCACGGCGGTCATTCACTGGCTTAGAAATCTTGACATTGAACTATAAAGTTGTTAGTCATCTTTTCCAGCCATATGACAGAAAAAGCTGCTGTGCAGTTGCACTTCTAAGTGGTGAATTGCTTTATCGCAAAGGAACAACGCAACGTACGTAAATCATTGATAACCTCCTCGCTGAGCTGAAACGAATATTTATTGTGAAAATTCCTTGATTAGAACAAAAACATGCAAGAATTTCGATCAGTTAGGTGGAGGTTAAATACTTTACTCGTAGGCAACAGAGAACTGAGTTCTGAAACGCAAGTAATGAATCTTCAAGTTGCTCACCGACAGTTGCAGTGATCATTCCATACACTGACAGATTAAATAATGAAAGACAAAGAAGTTATATTTGAAATCAGCAACGCACTGCAAAACACTAAGCAACAAACGCATATGGACGGTATTCACAGTGTAAACTAACTGAATAAAACTAACGGTAGTACCGACAGGTTATATTAATGGGCGTTGATGTGTCAAACTTAACAGATAATAGAAAACTGAACTGGGGTTCTATGATACAAACTAAGTAGACAAGAGATTCATTACAGACTCGCTGTGTTGAAACACCAATGAAGTTTCTGCTATACAGCTATTAACATAATAGTATAATAAATAAATATAAAACACTTAACTTCATGATGCCTAAAGAGAACAAAGTGGAACTGAAGCCAAACCGATTAGCATAATCGATAAGACACGGCAGGTACAAATCGTTTGACTTTCCAAGGAAGGCAGCATAAACATCAGAACTCAATGTTCAAATCTACGGAATAACGTACAGGGCAGAGAATGGTTCGAATTTTAACCCGCTTTTAATACCTCAAAAGATGGACGGCGGAAATAATTTGGAACTGAACGTGAGAAAGGTTTGCTTTAGCCACGGGCTACAATATGTTGTAGATGTACACATTTACAGATACTGTAATTTTTAGTTTTGAAGAAAACTTTGTAGCAGAGTAAAATACCATGAATTATTGACATGGAATCGCACGAGAACAACGAAGGAGAAACGGTGAATCATTATCGGACACAAATCGAAAGATAAAGTGAGGTTTAACGAGTAAATGACCCTAAGAACTCTTTTCCGAAATTTCTAACTGAGCTATTTTCTTCTTGAGACTAGCCAACACCTTCTCCCGCGCCTCCCAGGTCGATGGCATGACGCTGGCTACCAGCGCCGGGGAAATCATGGAAAAGTTCGACTTGCTGCCGTGGTTCTGATCCTCTTGAGCATTTTGACAAAAGAGCATCTCCTCGACAAGTTGCTCTGGACTCATTCCCGTGGCACATTTCAGGTCCTCAGATAAGGAACTGAGAAGTGCTTCATTCATGAAATTATTCCTTTCGACCGATGAGCACAACCTGTTCACGCACAGACCTAAGAAGCAGCACTGGCCCCTTTCGAAGTAGTTCACACATGAGGAAACAGAACGATCGGCGGGCACCGACTGGAAGCTGAAATGGCAGTTCGCGTTCTCCGCAGTTTCTCTGGACGATGAGCCGTTTCGCTTGTCGCCTTCTTGGTCATAATCGCGGCCGGCGACGGTCGGCAGTTCCGCACAGCACGGTCGTTCAGCAATCGCCATAAAATACTCAAAACTACTGTCCAAACTGTCAGCCTCTTCAGGTGAACCGCTGGAGATCATAGACGTGTTGTAGTCAGAGACGCCCTCCGGCTTTCGAACATCTCGTGCGTGCGGCGGCTTTGCGCTTTTAGATCTTCGCGAAATCAGTTCTTCTGAATTAATTCGCTCCCGGTCGACGCATCGAAACAGATCACCACGAGAGCCGATCATCGAATCCGCTATAAAAATTAAGAGCAAATCATCACAAGCACTACGGGATTCAATCGGTCCGTTTAACAGCAAAATTTTTAGCAAATTTAAAATCATTAGGGCCACCCGGGATCTTCAAGAAGTAGCCCTATATTAAATTATCAGTAAAAAGCAAAAAATTACAACATAAAGAGTCGTCAGAGAACAGTTGAAAAAGGGCAAAATAGGGTCGTTTGGCAATAGATAATAAATAGATAATCAATAGATAATAAATAGGCACGTCACTGACATCAGCTGGATTTTGAATATTACTTATAGGAAAACGCTTTTGAAGATGTTCACTCCCTTGCTATAGATCATTATCCAGAGATAAATAAGATACCGCGTTAATACGACGATGAGCATATTTGGAAGTTATTTCCAATTTTGACAATACTTCGCGGTTTGCCACTGCTCATTGGCTAGCTCATTTGTGTTCAACAGTTCTGATCTACAGTGGCCGCGATTCTTGGCCAATGCATCGTAAACTACAAGTCAGATAATCAATACGATACGCCATATCTGTTGCGTCGTTACGGAGAATCAGGTTTCACTCTGGGCATTTGTGATCTCATCTCTACTTTTCAAAACTATGATAATTGTTTAATGAGTCCATAATCCTCTTTGACACTGAAACAGACCCAAAATGTAAAGTATTCAGATGAAAAATATGGGTTCTCGATCTGATCGAACGTTTCATCTAGTTTTACTTTTCGGTCACCTACTGATGAACTCCACTGAGCATCGGTTTCGATTCAGTGGGTGACAAACGTGCTTAACTCCCGTTCTAGATATGGTTTTGAGCATAATAAACCATATAGGTTCAACCACAATAAAGGTGTGAGGTCGGCGTTAGCACCGCTGTGCCAATAACTATGGCTTTGAATTTTAGATGGCTGGTTTCACTCCATATTCTCCTATTTTCTCAGCACAAGGAGGAAGAGAGCGTAGTTAGAAAGTCCAGTGTAGCCGCTGGTATGCTACATAGTGCCCATCCGCTACCACCTATCAACGATATATACGCCTACCACCTATCAAGGATATTTTCGGCGATATTCTAGCCAGCTAATTCTCAAGCATCTGGATGACTAGCCAGCTTCCGCGTCGCTACGTTGCTGCTGGATTATTTGACTGCTCCATACGACTGCTCTCGGCTTCACTCCGCATCGAATGAGTGGAGAGGGGGGTCTGAAACAGTTTAGGTGTAAGTCATTTCGCCCTTACTGTGCTTGCCGTCATCACGTGACCTGCATGTCCTGCGCAATTTCTGGAACTGGTTAAGTCATGGCTCTGGTTCAAAGAGTGTGAAATGTGAGTCAACCGGTGGAGCCATCAAAGAGCTCGACAACAGTGTCCTTACGCGATTCATCCAAATTCGAACAAGATGTCAGTTGGAGGCATATTGGGAAAAGTTTGCTACCAAGCAGATGAATACAGCCACAGAAATGCAGAAAACACGCTCAAGGTAAAAATGCTGAAGGCAACGAGAAAATGAAAGTTTATAACCGCTAGTTTTATAACCGTTTAGCCGGTTCTCCGTACACTTTCACGATAGAGCAATTTCTGGCTCCCACCATTTCATTAAGTTAATGGCCGGGTGCTAATCTCTCTTATAATGTTACCAGGTGTTCGTTTTTAACATAGAGCTGACAGAAACTATGTGGCAAGCACAAGCGTGCCTGTTTCTTTCCCACAGAGTCGTACTTACTTTTGATCTCAAATGGAAAAAAGGTGAGTAGTCTCAAATTACGCAAGAAACAGAGCCACTTGGTTCGGAGTCTGGTGCTACACCGACTGAACAATCTCGGTCTGAATAAACATGTGCCAATTCCTCCAAGCTCAAAGGAATTCGTGATTAAGATAAAGACTGACACAAAATAAGACTCCTAGCAAGCGATTGAAATCAAGCAGCTTCCAAACGAGGGACTGCTTCAACTTTCTTTCTCTCTCTCTCTCTCTCTCCTAGTTTTCCTGCTCTTCAGGCGACAGTTTGATATGCTGTAAGGTGGAAACTGAGAACAGAGAAAAAACTCGACCGCACAGACGAGTGACGACCGGTTAACATAAATTTGCACTTTTTATACTGACAGTGAACCGTTTGTAGCCATTTTGAATTTATGCCAAAATGACGATAGATGAAACTATGTGGAAGAAACATTCTTAATGATTCAAAAACGATCATCTGGGTTTAGACGTGATGATGTGGATGACAACTAAACTGGAAAAAAATTTGAGCTAGATACTGAGAAAAGGTTCATAAAGTAGTGATTTCACAATGGTGTAGACTGAAAAAAGCGACGTCAACAGGAGACGTGGAAAACATTCAACTCTGCACATGACAACACCATGAAGATTAAAGTTCGTACCACTTTCATCGATGAGTGCTTTACGTTTTGGGAGGTGGCCATCCTTCGGTGATTTCAGATGTTTCTTGGCCTTGGCTAACACTTCGCCTGACTGTAGTTTCTTCCGTTCCATTTCCTCCTTTCGCGACTGCTCCTGTTTCTCGATGGCGTCTACGCGGTGCTGCGAGTTCGGCTCAAGCGTACAGATCTGGTTACAGATGCGCTGCATTGGGCCTAGTTCTTCACACTGCAATCTCTGCGGAAACACGTGCTGGATGACCTGAGTGATCGACTTGACGTACGGCGACAACTGCGATATGGCCGTTATGAGATGCTGCAAGTTTTGACGAAGACACATCGCAGAGGCGATGTGGTTCTGAAACAAAAATAAAATATTACTCAACGTAAGCGTCGGTAAGCGGTAATAAAAGTTCATAAAAAGTCAACATTGTTAACAATTAATCAAGACTTTGGACACATCTCTACAACATGCCAAAAAGCAACGGTGTAAAAAACAGCGATTTTTCACTTGTAGGTGATTTTTCTGAGAAAACGTTACGCCCTGTGCATAATAGAACTACCACAGATACGACAGCCACTCGTAAAATATGCGTGAAACCAGGCAGTCAGCATTCCTGATCATACCAGAATGTATAGTGATATAGCCGCTGAGGAAGGTACTTGAAAACTATCATACAAGTCATAAAAGTTTAAAGCCGGATTCGGATATGCCATTTCAGCCAGAACCAAGAGGATAACTGGTGTTCGAGTTCCGTTCAAGTCACAGTTCTTTCTTTCTTTCAGAGGCTGCTAAATGAGTACCACTCTGGGAGACAAGGAAACCGGAGACCGTACGCTCTGCTTACAATATGGCGGTCGACTCTGCCTTTAAAAATAAGGCACTCCTGGCAGATGTAGTAGAAACGGAGATAGTAGATCGCTCCATCAACTTCATGTGAAGTAGGAAGACACAAATAGTCCCCAATAGCGAAAAGTGTAACGGAGGAGCGACTTCTGAACGACGACAAACTTTCCTCATTCCCTCTCACCTGCTCTGTCGCTTTCCTGCGCACTCCCGTAAGCAAGCAGATTTACCTTATACATTTCCTGCTGTCGTCGAACACGATCCAGTTGTTCTTCCCAAATCTGTTGAAACTTCGGATGCAGATCGTCGACCGCCGTCGCGTGAGCTCCCAAACCAATTTTTAACTTTTGACACTGGTGTTTCAGCTCGTCCAAGCTTTTTGCGTCGATCAAGCACTTTCGTGTCGTAATATCCCGTTGAAGTTCCTGAGCTAAGTGCACGACTGTCGCAAATTCCCGCGAGTTTTTCTAAATAAAACATCAATCTTCAGACATGAAAAACAATACTTGCTACCGTTAAATAAATATTAGCACATGAAGCGGATTACTACAATAATAGTAAATCATATACTTTGTCCATGCGCTGAAGACACAATGCAGTTTTGAACAAACTAAGTGGTCGCAGTGATACTAATTACTGTATATCTTCAGATGTACCGTCGTTTAGTAATGCTGTAGGTGGTCATCCTCCGCTCAGATGATAGGCACATGTTGCGCTAAGAGTTTATTTTGTTTTATCAATTAACTATAGATGATTATTCGTATTTTTCAATCTGGAGCTTTTAGTCCGTCTTTCTCCCAAACAGTTCCATTGAACCTCATATGGAAATATCACTGTCATCAACCTTTTCCCATTAACTGCAGGATTAAGGTCTTTCCAATATTATGTAAAAAACTCATATGCGATTTGCATCTATTTTGATCCAGCGAACTTCTTCGACACATTGTACCATTAAACAGAAGACGTTGTCTTCCGTGCAACGCGCCCAGCACATTATTACGTTATCTTCTTCACTGAAGCAATGACCTTGCATTCTAGTTTGGATTCTTACTAATTCATTCGTCTTCAATCATTTCTCATTATTCTCAACATATATCTTTCCATGCTCCATTGAGCAACATGCACTTTTATCAATAGTTTTCAGACTTGGAGCCCACGTTTTGCATCTGTAGATTATCACTTGGAGCACACACCGATCGAAAATATGTTTCTTCTGTTTCAAGCCATAGCAAGTTTCCCGGATAGAAACATTTTCAGTCTTCCAAAAATGTTCTTAGCCATTTTTATTCCTCTATCCATTCTTCGCTTAACACGAGCTGGCCATCATAGACGTGGTTTTGCAGTTTTTAAATTCTTAGTCCCCTAACTTCAACAGATGTGGTTTCACCTATTTGCAAAACATGACCTGGGTCTTCTTCAGGTTCATTTTCAGTCCTGCTTTGTCGCCGTTCAGCTCCTGGACCGTTCACTAAAGTTCTTCAACTAACCTCCGTCAGAGGATCAAAATATCGTGCGTAACCCGCAGATAGATTAAGCATTGCTCATTTATTTCAGCCCCCATTTTCCAAATGGTGTGTCTTTTAAACTTCCTCTTAAGCTGTTTTGAATACTTCAGTGATATTGCGTCACCCTGTCGAACGCCTTCTTTGATTCTGAACTTGCTTATGCTTTCTTGAAGTTTCTCACTGGCAGGTACATTCTTCTAAATGTCGAGGTCTCAGCACCTTTCATCGACTCCTCGGCTTTTCAAGAAATTACGTACAAGATGGATGTAAACGAGTTGAAAGACTATCAGAAAGAGAAGAACAAACTCAACAGAAACAATAAACAAAATAAATTATGTCATTATGGATTCTCTAGCAAATTGATAGCTTTCAATATAGCCGGTAACTATAATTTATCCCTTTCAATACTCTGGATTTACACGGCGAAGCATCAACCTTTGCTTCTAGAAGCCTAGAGGACCGCTTGAACAGGTCACGGCTCAATGATATTTTAGCATCTGCAGTGCATTGGCGCAAAACAGCGTCACTGTGCTGAATCGAACAAAAACATGTTCGAACATTAACGAAAATGCCTCATTCCGTAGGAGCACCAAAAAATAACCCTGTGATTATGGGTTTGCTATCCGGAGGACTGATATGAGAGAGTAAACAAACTTTCACTGATTGTCTGAATTTTTTGCTGCACCACCTGTAAATGATCCAACGTACCAAATTCATTTCTGAATCCTGCTTGCTATTTTGACTGTGCAAAGTCCAGTGTTTTTTGAAGTCTGTTCGTCAATATCCCTGCGAAAATAGGTAACAAACTAGTTTTTCAAATCTTCTCGATCTCCTGTTACAGTAGGAGCAGAATCATCAATGCGACAAGCCAATCGCCTGGAATTTTTAGTTTCTTTGGACAGTGTGAAAAAGCGCGCTAATAATTTGGTCAATGGCTCACCTCATCTCCTGACTCTACGAGTTCTACTGTAATACCGTCTTCGTAAGGCACCCTTCTTCGCACTGAATATGTTATTGCATATCGCACTTGTGGAAAAATATTATCTGGAATTTCGTCAACTTCATCTGTATCTTGAGACCCCAATCAACACCCATGCTGCCGTTTCTTTCACCTTTGTATAATTTCGTACACAAAATCATCAAATCTCTTTAGAATTTCATGTCTGTCGCTGATGACAGCCCCTCTCCTGATTGATCGCCATCTTCTTTACCAATTCTGCACTTGAATGATCGAAGATCTATCACTCTTTCCCTTAGTTTTGCAAAGTTGCACGTATACGAAAATAAACCGTCTCCTAATTATTGCTATTCTCTAAACCAGTGTTTTAATTCAATTCAAGGAGGCATGCTAAAATTCCACAGATACGCCATAAGAAGCATAGAAATTAATCCGCAAAAAATATTAGGAAACAAATATTTTGTAAAAAGAAACCTGCAGCTCAGTTGAATTACACGAACAATCAAGAGTCCAACATCGGGCGTCCCATTCCCCACTGCTTAGCTAAATGGGGCAACGAGAACTGGCTAGACAAGGCTCCTGATTTCTTATGATGCAATTCGTTCAAAAGAAGGATGCTCAGGTTACAATCTGAAAGAAAGAACTGCTAGCCACTATAAGCGCCGATCCACCAAGAAAACAGGGAAAACTGCTTTACTGCCAATTTATCTACCATCTGAATGGAGAATGGAGACACCTGGTATGAATGACTGGAAGGCAGATAGTACCAGATGGCTGATATATTTGAATGGATAATAAATACACCACCTGCGTGATCATCATTCCAGCGTGAGAACCATCATTCAAAAATTGAACCCATGATTCATTCACCAAAGACCACGTTTGTTATTATCTACATTTACTGCAGAACAAATTTTAAATCAAGAACATCCATTTAGTAAGCGCTGATGTTCGCTCATTTGTAAAGGGAAAGTTGAACGTAGTGCTGCCTTATGACCCTTGGTCTCTGGTTCCGCCCAGGAAATTCGCAGCAGTCGGCAGGCAATATCAGACTGTGCGGGGTTCAACATATTTGCACCGTCTTTTCATGGCCCATATTTTGTTTTCACCAGATTAAGGCTTGAAAATCAAATACATGAAGTCGCAAGAGTCCGTGAGTCAGTTCCGATGACCGCTTATCCGCTCGATTTTTGGCGGCAGCAGCGTCCAATGGTGTCCCCAAAATTTCTGATCTTGTACCAGAGTCTGAGCTTTGGCAAAATATCACTCAAATCAGGTGCACAGTTCGCTGTTACCTTCAGTTCGTCGGATATCTTCTGAAACTCGTCTCCAAAGGCGCCGGCCAAGTCTGCCATCAGCATGAAGCGAGACAGTTCCTGCGAAAATGCGCTACGCTTCG